CATTCCTGTTTGGTGGGTTGGAACTTGGAACCCAACACCGATTTATATAATGCACAATGATTGAATGGCGTACGTATGATGATTGAGATACTGTAGCATGTGGTATTCAATTTGTAGAATACATCCAAACGAAAAAATACTATATAGCTTGTGCTATATACGTTTACCATGACTCATGCAAGGGCAAATATACATGGATTGCGTGCGGTATTTGCTATGCTCAGTGGGTGTGTGGGGACCATGCACTGAAGCTCCTACGTTCAAACCTGTTCCAATGGATGCCACTATCTTTCTCTTATGACCACTTGTACCATTTGTAGATTATATAGGTTGCATATTAGGATTGAACATCGGAAAAGTATTTATGTTTTAAGTTTTACTAAAATGTTCCAAAATTGAAATTACTTTTGGATGTAACTATTCTGTCACTAATCATATTATTTAAGTAATTATCAATTAACCGTTTAGGACATAAATGATGAATAACTTTATCTATTAAGTGTATGGTGGAATGTTCATTCCTGATATATGTATATTAAAAATATGTCACAGAATATATTAGCTAGTTGAAAATTTGTTAATTGGTTAAGTTGTCAACATTGTTTATTTTATAAGTAGTTAATCACCTTTATAATACACTCAATATAAATACAGCTTGAACTCTCTCTCTTATTTTATAAGCTATCTCACCCTTTGAGGTGCCTCCAACGTAGCGAGGAGATTAGCCACTGCTATCAATAGTGGTTACTCTAGGAACGAACTAAAAAAAAAAAAAACACTCTCTTATTAATATATTTTATTGATCAATTACATAATTAATATATTTCTACTACTTCTCTTTTCTCTATTTAAAGCTTTATGGTATATATGAATGCACTGCTAGCTAGTGTTACTTGCTCTTTTTCTCGATTGGTATCATCTCATACGTAATGATGATATCAGTTGTTAGGAAAAATTAAAAATCTTTGAATGGATCTTAGTTTTCGAGCGGTTAATTTTAACTTTCCATTAAGAGATTACTTTAGCTACCCAAAAAAATACTACCGTTTAAGTATTAAGTATTTATGAATAACTTTTAGTAGATAGAGTCGACTCATATATATATATATTTAACTATTGGCTCACATTAGCTATGACTTAAATTTGATTATTAGCTTCTTTTTGTTTTTGTTATTTGTTAGTGTGAATTTCATTATAAATTTCCGTTAAGGTTGATATTTGGTATGGGTGACAAATGAATGAATTAAATAATTTTTTTAAGTAGATTATAATAAATCAGATAAAAATAATTTATTAGTTCATTTACATGTATTAAAAATTTACATAAATATTTAATTTATGTAATTTATTTAATGAAAAAATCATCTAATCCATTTGTTAATAATTTTTTCAAGCATTAATATTCATAAAAACAATATTTTAAAAATTAAATATTTTTTTATTTTTGAAATATTTTATTTTTTTATTTTTTAATGAATTTTGAAAAAGTAATGGATAGATCATTAAATATCTGTAAAATTAAGTGAATGGATTATATTTGATCTATTACTTATTTTATTGTAATAGATTATTTTATTGTAATAGATGGATTAGATAAATTTATTTATGAGTAAATCAGATAGTTATGAATAAATAAGATAGATTTTTTATAATCTTTCCTAACCTTGCAAGAAAACATCTTTTAGTAATCTAAACTTGTAGATTTCCCGTTGAATAAACTGGAGCTTTTCTTCCTTAAAAAATGAATAACTTTGTTTTTATGTTTAAGAAAAAAGTATAGGTGGTGAGTCAGTGTACATGTATCTTTCAATTATCATCCAGAATTGTGGATCCCTTTTTAGGTGAAAATACTACAAGAAAACTGCTACATATTAGCCAGAATTGCAACCTAGCTAGTTACATACTAGTTATCTAGACATGCTTTAATTTCTCCACACAAGAGATATGTTTTGGCTTCTCGAGCACAAGCGCTGACGTAGACCAAGACATTTTGGCTTGATCAATCTTTCAAGAATGTCATGAACTTTTTCTGAACATTAAAACGAATAACATTAATTAGTTGGAGAAAACTTTACAACTTTAAATGAGTCGGACTCAATTAAATTTAATTGCCACCGTCACAAGTTTTAGATACTGTTATGTTGAGGATTTTAGGTTTAAAAACATCATCTACAAATAAAAATTTGACTTACTCACCCAAAAAATTTAAAGAAATATTGCAATTAAGAATAGATATTGTTTTTTTCTTCTTCTTTCATTCTTTGTAAAAAAGTTCATTACAATTAAGGTGTTAACTTATAAACTAGTCGAAAATTTATAAGTTCGCTGAAAGTTTGTAAACTATAAAATAGTAAATTAATTAATTGAATTGAAAATATTTAGTAAATTTCATTGATATAAAGTAATTGATTAATATAAAATGACATATATAATAATAATAATAATAATAATAATAATCACTACAAGAAAATAGTGAATTAGTTATAGAAAATAAGCGTGAGCTAATAGCCAATGTAAATATTGTCGAAAAAGCCGATGCTATTTTAAGATGTAGCGTCAGCTTTTTCAACATTAAATATAAATTAAGTTTAGTGTCAAAAAAGCTGATGCTATTTTTTAAATATAGTGTCGGCTTTTTCGACACTAATTAAATTTAAATTTAAATTAAATTAGTGTTGAAAAAATCGACCCTATATTTAAAAAATAGCGTTAATTTTTCGACACTAAACTTAATTTAAATTTAATGTTAAAAAAACTGACGCTACATCTTAAAATAACATACGTGCTTTGAGAGATAAAAATAATTTTTTCAATGTTATATACGCATAATATGTTCTGATGCACTTGGTTATCAAGTTCACTTAAGATCTCAAGGTTCACAAATCGAGTCCTGGGAATATTAAAAATACGAACGAATAAATGATAAGTTGGAAAAAGAACATAAAGAAAAAAATAAAATAAATTTTGTGTCGCCATAGTATCGGTTAAACTGATAATAAAAAATTAAAATAAATAAATTTGTTATTGACGGCTTAGCCAACACAAAAAAAATTGTGTCAACTTATTTAGCGTCAACCAAAAATATTACGTCAATTTATATGACTGAGTCGGCTTTTGGCCCACTCTAAATTGCAACATTGTTATAATGAATGATAACAGTGAGACTAATATGTAGAATAAGGAAAAAAGAATTGTTTCCAACATTAAAAATTGTAAAGAAGAATTTTAAGTGAATTAATGATGATAAAAAAAAAGTTAAAAACTTATAAGCTACATCAGTTAATTTATATAAATAAGTTATAAACTTTTAAAATAAGTTTGCACACAAAACAAGCTCCTGTTAATTAAAAAAAAAATTATAAACCGGTTAAATGAAATTGTAAACTTTTCAAATGTTTCAATCATAAAAGAAAACGGGTAATGAGAGTATAAACTTTCTGCTGAATATGGTCTGATATCAATTTTCTGTACTGTTTGATTAATTTTTTGCGACAAGTTTAAAATACAAATAAAGTCATTGATTCTTAAATGTTAATTTTAAAATCCTTCTCTGATCTCTCACAGCTTTTCCCCTAGATTTTCAAAGTTAGTCCTAAATAATGGTTTCGAACAATGACACACACGAGTAAACACGCGTACGTATAATATCCATATAAAAAAACTGGTGTGAAATTCGTATACTCGTTGGCAGAATAAAAAATTAAACAATTCAAACACAAGATTAAAAGTTTTTACGAAATAAATTAATTTTAGATTTTTTCAAATTAAAATATAATTAATAATTTATCACACTATTTTATTTTGGGAGATAATATATTGAAAATATAAATAAATGTTAATTAGGACATGGATGATTTAAATGATTAAACAAGAAAAATTGATATATCTAACAACCAATAGGAGATGAGTAAGGTAAGAAGTAAGTGCTTAGAAAATATAACAACCATTGAAATGAAGTACCAGTACAACAAGAAGTAATTGATGAATATGGATAAACAACAGATAAGTTTCATATCCATGAAAATAAGTCTAGAAACGACATATTTATACACATAACAAATTAGGGGATATTGTTGCCTACTGGGTTGAAACCGAATCACCCTAATTTGTTGACGGTTCTAAATACACATGAAAGAAATATATATCTACCCGAAAAACCCTTGGTACTACAGTTATTTTATTTTTCATTTTCTAATGAAGAGGTATACAACTATTATTTCTACCGAATGAACTCTTATAAAAATAAAATAATGCTTTCAATGGTAGCTTCAGAATGATATTCTTTATACTACAATTGTTCGTATAAGGATGGTAATACATGAGAAATGCCTATATATATATATATGGGCTTTGAGAGCCTCATAATCCTGACCATAAAAACCCTACTTGTGTAAACTTTCATACGTACATCATATTCTTTGTAAAATTCTTAATAACTTAAATGTCATTGTTTTTACATCATATTCTTTATCAGAAATTCTTAATAACTTACATATCATAATCCTATTATTCATCAAAATTAACAACACTAAAATTTAAATATAATACATATTGGGCATATTTTTACAATGTCTTTGCGAGTACTTTCACCGATGACCAACTTAAAATCCCCGAGACCAAACAATGCAACATCATTAGAAAAATAGATCATATTAGTCCGATCCATGAAATTAAGATAATTCGAGTATGTATTTTGGACCAAAATAATAAAGATTTAGAATGAATTTCTACCATTTTTTCTGCACGAGTTCAAATCCTCTTATGCTATTCAGGTGGTGGTCAGTCGTCATTTTCACAGTCACATTTTTAGATTTTTTTAAGTAATTGTTGCTGATATAATTTCAATAAAAAAATTATTAATGCTGGTTAGAGTTATATTATTTTAAAAATATATTATTTAGTTACAAGTACTTCAATTATTAAATTTTAAATGAGTATTTTTATCGGTTAAAAAATGAAAAAGAAACGAGAACTGTCTTGCTAA